AATGGGGTCTGAGCGTGGCCCGAAGGCCAGCCCTCTTGTATAATGGCCCGACAAATCCTAAAGTGACCGCCTCACGTCAGCGTTACAATGTATTTGAAGGAGAACAAAGTAATTATATCTGAGAATGGCCCCAAGACAAGCCCACGAGTACAAGGACCAAACGAATCTTAAAGTGACCTTCAGGCATCAGGTGGTCACATAAACAAATTATTACACTCTGATCCTTCCCGTTAGTTGGAAGACGGCATGAAGTTAGGGTGATTACGTGTGTGCATTAAGAAGAAGAAATTTGGGATTCCAGTTGGCTCAAAGCTAACCACGCGTACCAGAGCAGAAGTGCCCAAGTAATCTGCAGATATACAGGTAGTCAAATAAACAAATATCGCACAATCTCTTTCTGTTATCCTTTAGAACGTGCTATTAGCACACCTCAATGCCGGAATGCCACATATATAGCAAATCGAAGCCCTCACGACTGATAATGCAACATACAAACTACCGAAACATTGCCAAGATCCACTTGTAACATTGCATGAATGACGATTACGATGGCAGGCATTATACCTCTGGCGTTTGAACCGATTATCAGGCCTCGCCGAAGTTCCACATCTACACTATCTCGCAACCTACAGATATGAGCCATGTCCTATGCCTTCCGTTGCCAAATGGAAGGTTGCAGGATGCTACGCCCCTCTTCCTATGAGCTTCTCGTTCGGCTAGTCCCTCGGTAAGTTCCCCGTGCCGACCAACATAAGGTGGTTGGTGATGAAAGGAAACAACGAACTAGCCACGTCAACCCTTAACACCTAAGCAACAGAGAGGACCTCAATGGCGCCAATTCCTCTCATTCAATTGTATTGTAAATCCACCGTATAGTCCGACTTAACAATAAGATTCCAAGGCTCACAATTGTGCTGAGCACTGCTCGTGTCCATGTGTGGAAACTAATCAGACTTGTAATAAGGAATATGAGCTTTGCACAGTAGTTAGCAGATGGAGTGCGGCGCGACTCCCCGCTGCCGACGCTTTTATGCAAGTACGGTAGGAATTACTTCAAAGTAACACTTTCCCAGATGGTTTACGAACGCACTGCTTTCTTCAGAAGGTGTCAATGAGGCAGATGAGGTAAGCGGAGACTTTCCTCAAACTCATTTTAAATACTTTATCGTATCCCCCATATTATAGTTGAATACCATCAAGTTTTGGGGTTACCAAGCTTCTCATACTTAAGCTGGCAAAGGCAGGCAAAAAACTGAGGAAGTTGCTACACAAAAAAAAATACGTCGTTTATTCGACTGTCTAGGTGAGTGGCAACCACTACGAGATGAAAAAGCATTCAGGGCGTGCTGCGATTTTCTATCTGGTAACTTAGAGCATGTGATGGTCGAGGTAAGAAAATGCTATGAACCAATTACAAACCTATTTAGAAGACGGAAAGTGGCACCCAGTCAGATAAACACAGTACCACGGTTTTGAAACCACCAATACTCCTACCCTAGCAAGGTGATTTGTGTTGGTTTGTTGTTTATAGCATGTCTGCGAGCCACGGAGGCAAGGTGAAATCTGTAAAATGCAATGTTGTTAAGCTTCCCCTATATGAGAGAGACGACTGGTCAATTCAAAACCATCCCGTACAATAAGAACGCGATTACCCTTCCCCGGAGTAACACCGAGTCACCATCCCATCCGTACACTCCCCCTTCCATTCTGTAAAGGATGTCAAATAAACCCTCTCCAAACAATCCTCTTATAAAGCCAGAGGTTCCGAATACTGAGGTTAGGCTAAGAAGCCCTATACTGCTGGCAGTGCTGGTCGAGTCTTTACTTTAAGGAAGACATGGAATTCGACGACTGATTCCCTTCAAAAAGGCTGATTTCAAGCTCTTCAGCCCTGGTCGGAGATCGCCCTTGTCACTTCGCCTTACCACTCGCACCTCAAACTCAAAAGAATGGTCCGAAGTTCTAGTTAAATTGGCATTCCTACAGAAGGAACTGTTTTGATTCCATACTTTTTTTCTAGCGCCTTCAGAAACCCGAGTAGAATGATGAGGAGTTCGCAAAAGCATCCAGATACTACCTAAATAGACCTTCAAAGATGGCTGACCCTCCGGGTTGTTTCCCAGATAGCGGTCCAGTTGAGGAAGGGCATGCATCCACCCGACTTGGTGGAAAAAATGATTCATATAATAAAAAGTATACTGAGTGCTTCATTAATGTGTCAGCCGCCAAACTCTCGGTAGAGTTCAATAACCGTTTCCATCCTTGGACCCCCAACGGACGCCCAATTCCTGGTCGGTAAAGAAGTACACATCCAAATGTGTCCCCTAAAACAAGGTAAGGCACAGATTTTCTTGTCTTCTGGACTCGGGAGCAGCCTGATCGTTACTAAACCAACAGACCTTCCCAGTATTTATAGCAAGGTTCATATTGCTCCACTGACTACTAAACTACGCTCAGCAGAAGGAAAAGAAATACATGTGAGAGGAGAAATGCCAATCAATCTTAACCGGGAAGGATAATTGGGATGTGAATTCTGTGTTATATTCAGGACCATTGCTATTAGGAGCCGACATTTTACGTCAGACCTGAGCAACTATAGAAACAAGTTCAAAACCCATCTAAGGCCAAATGAGAAGGCTCCGACGCCTCAGCCAAAGAATGATGCACGAGACATATGCGGGTCCCTCTTCGCTGCCCTGACTGACACTGGTACTAATCTAAGCGATCTTTGCGCCCAACTAAAACATGATGTCGGAGATGACAAAAGAAAACTGCACTCGATCCTAAAGAATTACTTACAAATGCTCTCCTCCGCAGGGGTGAAACTGAATCAATCGTACACAGTTAAACACACGATCAATACTGGTGAGGCTAAATCGGTGTGGAGGCCGCATGATCGTGTGCCACCACACCCTCCAAAACGAAGTACATTGGTTGATTGGAGGGAGGCCGTGTGACAACGTAATCAGGTCCTCCAGATTACTTTGGTTTCCTCCCATCGCACTAGTGAAAAAGAGTGACAACAGCCTGCCTCCATGCGTCGATTATAGACAGCTCAGTGCAGTAACAAATCAGGATGCGTTTGACTCTCTACAAGGAGCTAGGTGATTCTCAGAGTTAGACCTGAAATCCGATGTTACTCTGCCGGAGGACTCTCGTGTTCTTCCAGCATGGGATGTGTGGTCAAGTTGACCAGCCACCTCTCTCCCCTAAGAGAAACTTACACACATTAATATATACATTTCAGAGCCAACTGCAAACAACATTCGCAACCTGTACGTTGTGAGGGATTCAGAAACTCTCCTGCCCATGTTTTTGCGCTTCTGCATCATAGATACATGTAATAACATCGGATACTGGCACAGAAGTCCTTGAAAATTCAGATTCGCTTTCCAATGCCACCAACGTAGCATTCCAATACAGGCCGAAGACACTTTGAACAAATACGTATACACTAGGGAGATAAAAGGGAATGAGGCCTTAGCATGTCCTTCAGGAAATCCACGAGTACGAGGAGAAAACGACAAATCGAAAGTTGTCGCTAGACATCGGGTGATCGCGTGAAAAACGTATTTGTATGAGGATTCTTACCAAATTATGGCACAATTAAATAGTTCCCTTTGGTTTTCCAACGAAGAGGACGGTACCGCTATGCATCGTCATGGGTTTAGTCACAAACAACTAAAAGTGGATCCCATATTTATTTAGCTTGTGAATAGTTTCTCTTAACTTTTAGGAAAAAACTGTTTGGTTTTACTTCATAATACTCATATAAATTTTTTTAGGTTCCGTGGCTGCTTATTTTAGCATAACAGTGATGATTTAAGATAAAATTTGAGTGTTGCACATTTGAAGCAAATAGGCAAACTAAAATTTGTTTTCGTATACCAAAGCAGCTGGCCTTTTTTATGGCGCACTAGGGGAATGGACTTTTCCAATGCACCTCTTGCTGTTCTGGAGGCTGATGAATTGTCGTATACAGGCAAAAGTGATACAGGAGATCAACCATGTGAAGGAGTACTGAAGCGTTCTCTGTCTGACCCGTTTGACATTTCCGGTGGGTTACAACTGGAAGCGTCTCTCGAACATCTCATATGGACTTTTGATGACAGTGTTTCCCGTGGATTAATGGATTCTTCGGATGTTGATGAGTCAAAGAGTCACCAGAATGCTAGAACGTCATTAGATACTATTAAGTATGGCTATTTTTTTGTAACTAATGCATAAGGTCATTTTGGCGAATGAGTGTTGCACCTATCGAAAATCCAAAGGATTCATATCCGCTTGAAAAGGGGCCTATAACGTTCACCATGGTTAGTATGTAAACATTGTCTGTGTTGAAAGCAGTTTTAGAGGATAGCAAATGGTCATTTCACTGGCCGTTGAGTCCAGCTAAAATTGGATTTTTTGATGGAATGCGTACATATTGTTCATCTTTTATTAGATCAAGGTCAGATGCGTAAGTACTTTGCTTTTGCGTACATCTCTCATTGTTGATGTGCACTACTATCTTAACAACATTTCGAGGGTGTTAATTTTGGAGTCACCCTCAGTTTAACTTTATAGGCTTTGCAAAGTAAGCATACCATTCCCAACCGCAGTGTACCTTGAGGGTTTGATAAAGTACTACCTAGTTGGATTGTTCATATTTTAATCTAAGCTATGCGTATGCACGTTCTTTATTTATCTCAGGTATAAAGGTTCATTTTTTTTTATACAGGAGGATCTTCACATGGCAGATGCTGAGTCCGTATCTGATGCTGAATTTGAGGCATTTGCACCAAACACAGAGCTGCTTGTGAGTATGCGCAACTTCCCTGTATTTATCTCATCCACAATCACTGTTTTTACCAGAAGGCCACACCTGGTGTTTATCCTCATTTCGCCGTCTCGTATGCAAGACTTTGAACTATTTGAAATGCGTCTGAGTATGCTCAATGCCGTATGCACTACATGCTATTGCTATAAGTTCCACTATCTCGTAGATAATACGCTCATTTGTTTCCAATTTCAGTCCCTCAATTCAACTGCCTACTTTCTGATCTATTCTTTTATCCTTTTGCGTGATCCAATAACTTGTTTTAAATCTATTTATTAACTTATCCTAAATACTGTCTCCTATGGGGGACTTTTAATAAAATAACTGCAGATACGCATTATTAAACGCTAAAGTGGTCTTTCTTCTGGAGTTGTGGCTTCTAACGAAACTACAATCCGACTACTATCCTCCTTTCCGGAGGCAATTATCGCGAAATACTCTTACTTCTCTGTCAACTTAATTTGTTGGTTTCCGTTCCATACTATGGCTGTCTCCGAATAGTAGTATCGGCTTAAGGACAACCACCATGATGCTGGTTAAGCTTTAATGATTGACATATTTTGGTTTAAATGGATAAGCTTCATCCACATCTTTCCTTGCTCTCACATAGTTTTGGTCATCATTTTGCTGATGGATTTCTTTTTTAACATTGAATGCTATTGAATTATACTGTAGGACGTCTGTGTGCTTTAAGCAACACTTATATTGACTTCTTTACGAGAGTGCACTAGCTCTTTTGCATTTTTTCTTTGGTTCTTTGTAACTTTTCTCAAAAGTTTCAACTTCTGCAATACACCAATCGATCATTTTTTAAGTGGGTCTGCGCTCGTACTTTTAAGGAATGCTTTTTTTTATTTTCCGTGGGATGCATTCATCGTTGCCACCTTTACTATGGGTTGTGATTAACCACTAACGTTTATTGAAGGTTCTTGTCGGCTCGAAGATGTAGTTATTAATTGCAATAATTTTCATTTAATCTGTAATAAAACAACAACGAGGGGCTACACAAGTTTTATGCCCCTTTGGAGGAGTTGCAGAGACTTTATAAACCATACATGTGCAATGGCATAACGGAATTCGTTTTTCTCACTTAGCCGATTGTTATCTTCCTCCCCTCTCCACAATCATTGGCACTTGGGGTGCGCAATAATGGCGCTGGATGTATTTATTCTTTGCTGCCTGATGATCAGTAGATGAGCATAACGGGATGGGAAGGAGTGTGTTCAACGTTAAAACTATCAACTGCAGAGCTCTCTCGTTTATCTGTTATAGTGCTTTACTCCATCACATTACGAAAAGAATAATCTCTTCTCCTTGACCTTGTGGCATTTATGGAATGATCTCTGTTTTAAAAGAAAGGAGAACTCAATGGTTTTGGAGTCTTGACTACTTCAACACAAAGAAAATACGCTTGTAAATGTTCGTCGGCTCCTAGAGTTCTTTATCAAATTCCGCCTATTGTTATTTTGATGCTCTCCATATCTTGGTGTTCAAACGATGCATGCTCCTAGACATGATAAAGGCTGAGTTTTCCTGTTCCATTTCAGAAATTTTGAATTTAACTTTCTTTCTGGTTAAAGGCTTGGGATTGTTTACGGATGGTTGCACATGTAGTGCTCTGTAAGCAGCTAATGATGTACGAAAAGGCTTTGCGATTCAAACGAAATTGTTGTGCTGAGCCTTAGTCTGCAAAGTTTGTCAGTTTACTCCACTTTCGCTTTGTCACACTCATGTTAACCACTTGGTGAACCAAAACGGTTTGCTACTAAACTGACATTTGCGCAGACGGTTAAGGGGTTTCTCGTACCTTGGCATTCGTGTTCATGGTGGCTACAAGCATGATACGAAATTGATCGCGCATTGCTATGAATGAAATATCTCTGCTTTTCTTTTAACTCAGTTTATTTAATCCACTTCTGGATTGCGCCACTATTCTTGGACATTGAGTCACCTAGAACTCCTGTATGAAACCCCGGTGGTCGTTGAAAATACTTAAAGCTATTTGTGGACAGATCACGCTGTAATGCTGTAATGGGGTTCTATTTGGTATGATTCTGCTCAGCAGACGTTTCAAAGGCATTCTCAGTAACGACTGTGCATCCTCAATAAGCTTTCGTCTCCATCCATACTGGGTGGAATCCGTTAATATTATATTTTTGTCGCCAAAATATTCGGTGCTAAAAAATACAGTTTATCAATCTACTGTCCCTTTCTCGTTTTTGTCATGCTAAAACTCTATTGGCTTGACTGTTTGAGTTTCTACCTCGAGCAAGGGTTTTCGGATTCTCTTCGCACAGTTTAGAAATTTGGTTTTTGATGCTATTATTTCATGTTTGTATTCTTGAAAATTTACCAAATAAATATTGATACGATATCAACAGCAAGTAGTGGTGTCATGCTAATTAATTCTGGAAAAAAATGGGTGCCTTATTACCTACCTTGTATCTGTCAGATGTCATTTGGGGTACAAATAATTTGCTTGGTCCGTTATTTTTGGGCTATTACTTTAAGCATCGTTGTTTCCATTTCTGCCTTCCGCACTTGTCTTAACTACAAACAGAGTATTTAAGTACTTCTCAAAAGTAACCCAGACATGACTTTCTGCTGATGATGCTCTTGTACTGTCCATAAATGGTTTTTTTTTAATGCTAAGTTGTTCAGAGTGTCTAATCTCTTGCATAATCGAAATAATTGCAAACTCCTGTGCCTCTCAGTTGGAACGTGAGAAATTGGCGGGGGTCGGAGAGGATAGCCTCAAGGGAAAGAGGGAGGAAGATGATGACACGGTGGCAACGAACTCCGTTGACCCGTTCTCCTCATCCTCCTGCGAATCGCTTCCCTGCTCTCTCTCTGACACGTATCCACCGCACCTATCGCTTGGCCAACAGCCGCCAGCATCGGTGGGGGCGACAGCGCCGGATGTGGCCGAAGAACAGGCTTTGGACGCCTCTCTGAGGTTGGCTAGTCTCCAGGCTGCTTTAGAGGCATTTAAGGCACATCATCCCACCCTACCGCTCGTTGAAACTCCTGATTGGGCTCAAGGTAACTCGTGTATTTCTATACTTACTAATTGTCGATTGCTAAAGTGTAACTATACTAGAACTAATCGGAATAGTTTCTTAATAGCGATATAGCCACAGTTACCTGACTTATAAGGTGTAACTCGATGGACTGGATGTGCAATCGGTGCGTCATTTAATCGAAGCATGATTTTGAATGTGAAGTGTTTCATGTGCACTGCAGCTCTACAGCGCTCTTGTTATTGTTGGCCTGTTATGCCATTCCAGGATTTCATATATTTTTTATGTTTAGACTGGGTTCAGACATTTTAAAGTAATCGCATTAGTACCTCTTAATATGTATTGAATTCTACTCGCATCCAAACTGCTTTCCTGCACTTGAATTTGAAAATCAATGCGCTAAATAAGTGAAACAGAATTGCAATAACCTTTACCGAATATGTGAGGGCTCACTTTCGACCGTACTTTACCACCCTGTCGGTTGACTGCAAATAAGTTGCATGTTTCGGCCGTGGATAACGACTCTCAGTATTATGATCGCATATTTGGCTTAAATTAACTGCCAACTCGTCTCATTCCTGTTGCTTATATCATTATCGTTAATAGGAGCGACTTTTTATCATAGCATGATTAAAACGCCTAACATGGTAGGTTTGGTGACGCTGCCGAAACCTGAGATGTCACTCGTTTCATAACAAAGAATCGGTTTATCTAGTACTGTTATTCAAGTGAATTTATTGTGAAGGTGCTAGGATAAAAACCAACGAGAGTCTGTACGTGCCATCAGTCCTATTGGAGTGGAAAATAAATGAACCAACTTGTTACACCTCCCAGAAGTTTTCTAACAAAATTATAGGCTGCAGATAGACTCGAATAATAAAGTAGCAAATGAAATTTCTCTCATCGGCTCTGGTCATACCAACCTCATTTCGCTATTATTTGATTTGTCATGTGTTAAAGTAAAATGGGACTACTGTGGTGTCAAAACATTCTCAAAGTGCTTTCCTAACAAGTTGATTAATGGTATTCAAATGTGGATTCAGGGTAAATTATGGTCCAACGGAAATGGTTCCATTTTACAAGGATGCAAATTTATTAAAGATTTTCTAATTTTTTAAGTCTAAAGCAATCCAATGACTCGCCAGTGCTGGGCGTTTATTTTGCTCTATTTTTCACTTATTAATTTTACCACATCATTAGTGAGAAGAGGGTTTGAATTAGGGTAGATGCAGCTTTATTGCTCGGAAGCTGGTTGAGATGAAAAATGGTTGAGTTCAGCTTGGTATGTGTCCCCTTTTGCAGAGTTAGAGCACCTATCACCTCAATTGCTGCGCCACTATGCAAACGAGCTAGAGGCCGAGACTGGTAGCATCTCCGAGTACCTTGTCGCCTCTCTAGCGGAGCGCGAGGAGCTCCGTCTTTTTCGTGATGTTCTGGACGACTTTATTATCCTTCACAACAACCTTCAGGTTCGACGTCGTAAAGCTGCTGAAGCTGTGCTCGCCAATACTACTCGATCCACTTTGGCCCATCTCAAACAGCATCTGGTAAATCTCCTCTTACACTAGGGCATAAGGAAATAGACATCTCCTCAAAGTGTTTTATATTTCACAGTGTCCCAGCAACTTTGGTCTTCCGGGTTGTAAGATCAAAACTCCCACGGTTTTGTGCATTTTATTAAATGCATCAACGAAATGGCCTGCGTAGACTAAAAATAATTTCTTACGCTTGCATACCTATGCGCAATATATCTTCCATTTTCGCTGGCAGAGCCATTCAGCGATGTATCGGCGGATGCCACGTCTGAACTCACCAGGGAGCCTGATTGAATTGAATGACATGTCGAGGCGAGGCGATGTCCTTTCGGGCAGCGCAGTTTCATTGAATCTACAGAGGCAGGATTTGGAACGCATGCCACGAGGTCACCATATCGGCGACCCTATCGAATTTCCTAGCCTACGATCAGCATTTATTCGTCTCTCTGGTTTCCTTACTGGTCAGACCGCAAAGGCACCAGTTGTCACTTCAGATACAGTTTCCTTGGCCACACGAGTTGTTGCAGATGCTGAGGCTAGTCGCAGACAATTGGCAACTTCTAAGGTCCCAAAGCGCTTGATTGACGGAGTGCAGAGCCAAGATCATAAACTGCCACCTTCTGACCTCCCTTGGCCAATGGGGCGACCAGAGTTTAGCCAGGTGTGGCTACTTCATTTGCATAACTCAGGGTTTTTCTTCATTTAAATCTACCTCACGGCTGAGATCTTTAATTGTTACGCGCTTTTTTGCATTGATTGCCATACTTTTTTTTCATAGAACATTATTGTCTCGCAGCGGTAATACCCTGAGTTTCGCCTGTCAAACCCGTTGAGTCCTTATACAAAATTACACCATAAGCCAATATTCTTAATGCGGTCTTGGCGTTTTGGAGTTGATCTTACTAATATCACCATATTCACCATAAAATTATCATGAAGTCCACTAATAATTTGTAGCGATTGCAATAGGTAATAACCAACCACTTTTTCGTGGTCTGAGAATAAGGTTGGTGCGGGTTGAACTCCTTGCTTGCTAAGCAAAGAACACTGTTGTTGTTATTGGCACCTTAGTTAGACTTGAGAGGGAATATTTTCGCGCTTGAGCTTGGTTACGATGTCCAGTTTTGCCCACTTCGATCTCTCCCGTGGATGTAAATGCATTTCTTGTCTCAAGCGCCTATTGGTTTAGCGCTGTCATGCTCAATACTTCTGCCAGAGGATTTTTGTTCCTCCTCTCTTTATTTGCATCAATAGGAGTATAGGGGACCCATCTTTATGTCGTTTCTTTCTCTTAAAACTTTTAACATAAAAATAAATGCACTCTGGCAGATATTTGGCTTCCAAGTGCAAGATCTATTCCACTAGTACTTAGAAGCAGTTCTTCATTTTTTTCAGGCTTTACAGAATGTGAGGTATGTTTAACCTGCCACTTAAGGCCTCACTTTGCATAGCAAAGCTGTTGCACTTATTTTGTGCGAAGACCTCTAATTACTTCGTCGTTTTATACTTCCTCATGTTGGCGGTTTATCAAGACGGTTTTAGCTGTGCTGAATCATTCATAAACAATTCTGTGTGCTGTAATGTACGTACTTTTAGTTTTCGTAAGCTCAATGTGTAATGCACATTTGCAGGTTGTGCTGGACTCGTTCTGGTGATTGCTGCCGCCTTTGAGCTATGAGCTGTCTTAAATTAATCTGGGTAGCACCGTTGGTCTTCAACCAATTCTTATTCCTTCGAAAACTTCAATTTTTACCTAGACTCCTCTACTTTTTACTGCTAGTCTACGATAGCAAGTGTTAACTTGGATGAAAACAATTGCTTACAATTTTTTCTCCGTCTTTAGTGGAAACCAGACACTGGGTAAACAGATGTTATGGATTGATGTTTAACTTATCGTCATCCGATCTATTAACTTGGGCTTTACTTTGAGCAATGCATGACATTTTCTAATTCTGGCTTTTTAGTCCCTTAAATTACACATTCCTGTTCCTACTTCTCAATTGCCTTCTTGGCTTCCTCCAAGATTGCGCATAATTAATCAAAGTAAGTCTCGAAACCATTTGTTTACAGAGTATATGCAGTCCCTTGGGCATGTATTTGATTCGCTTTTTCACTCTCAGTTTTGCTAGCTGCCTTGCGCGAGTCTCCGGAGGTCAGTAAACTCCTGAAAGAACTTCGAGAATTTGGTGAGTCAGCAAGTAGCTTTACCCCCTTGATTGCTTGGATGGATGTGAATTCATTGCTGCTTTTGATCCCTAGCTTTATTCCCCCATGCTATGATTGACTCAGTGTTTCATCATTACCTCTGTGGTTCTTTCTAGATGTCAGAACGCCCCAAAGGCTGCTATTTTTAGTTTGGTAGTCGAATGCCTTTTGATTAGTCACGTAGGCTGAGTGCTTTGTTTCGTTCAAATTTTGCCATGAGTCTACTGGAATTATCTTGCATCGAAAGGAAACACAGTTCATGATCTACGAAACGATATATTTGCTGCTATGATTCTCCGGTTCCTAATTTTACTAAATGGTATTGAGACAAACCGGAAGCAATAGAAAAGACCCGCGATTGTACCATCGTTTGCTTACCTCAAAAGCGCACTGATCCAACCAAAGCTGGGTTCGCCGTTTCTTCCAGCCAGATCGCTGAGTTACGCCATTATTAAGCCATTTGATTCGGGGTCATATTATTCGAGGACCCTGTAAAGCTGGTCGGGGGGTTCTATCTGTGGCAGGCAGTGGTCCTCTGGATGAGATGAGGCTTTTCAGAAAAGTTTACCCTAATGTTCCAGTAAAACTGAAGTAATTTCTGCTGCTATTAGTTAAGTGATTGTTCATTAAATTAACTAATTTCGGATTAATGAACTGAGGTTAACAATGTGGTTCAAACCGTATGCTTAATTACTATCTTATTAAGGGCAAACAGATGGAATGCAAAATCAACTGCGGTTTTCCAGAACCTTTCCATCAAAACTTGGCTGGACCTTCTTGTTTTAGATCCATTGGTTGAAGCTGAACAACTACAACGAACATCCAAATACTTATCAGCCAGTGGCTTCGAGTCCGCTCAGGTGGATTCTCTTCGGATTCTCTATTCTTCATCTGACATTGGACCGCGGAAAACCGTCAGCTTTGATTGGCATGGAACGAAGGAGTTGTTTAAAGCTTTGGCTATTGAACGTAATGGCGATGTACCTCGTCGCACCTCACCGGTTGCTTGATTTCCTCTCATTTTTTTCTTGATCATGACTACCTTTATATCCTTGAGCTGAGTTTGCTTGCATTCTACTGTCTGAGCTTCTTTATGGCTGCGTTGTCTCATCGTTGTTTTGCGTCACAGTAAAGTGTTACAGAGTCGACACACAAAGTGGGTGTATGAGTCTGGCGTGCTTCCTCTCACTACAGTCGTATTATGGGCGCAATACTTGGTCCAATACACGTAAACATGTACTCGGCCCCTACAGACGAATGTAATGCTTCGTCTGTTTGGCTGAAGGGGTGCGGTCGCTTTAGCGGTAATCTTGCTTCTGCCATGTGGACTGTTCTTCGAGTACTCAAGCTATGTCTAGTGCCAAGGTGTCGTAGCAGTCATGCAGACAAGCCGTCGCGTTGCTTATGCAAGTAGACCAGTGCGATAGAGTTTAGCAGGAGTTCTTATAAAGCGACAAACTCGGGTGTGACTGTAAGGTTGAGTGCTTTACCTGTGGTAGTTATACGTGCAAAATTTTCATCATTTGGCCACTTGTATAGTTAGTAGTCACCTTGGAGTCTGCTTTGCGCTTGACCAGGTGGGCTGGCCTTCAGACCATTGCTAAGCTCCGTCTGTATCCTGTCTGCTCGACCACAAACGACCAATCATGACTAATGTCTTCCATTACCAACTTTGAGTTCTCAGAACATTATGGAACGTTTTGGTAGAAATGTTTGATAAATGAGGCGACTATGATGTATCCGTAGCACCAAGCGCTTTTTCATCGCAGAACCGTAACGGTTCTTCTGTGAACGATTAGTGTAACAGTCACTTCATTTTTGTAAGTTGATCTTCTTCAATTCCCTACGCAATCTTTATTGTTAATACTGCCTTTCGCATTAAATTGACCAGTAATAATGTGAACTGTTACGCACATTTAGCCTGTAAATTATCCCCGTTGGGCGTTTCCGTCTGCCATCATGATTAGTATGCCATTCGCTCAAAGGCGCACACTTAAAGTGGATAAGCTTCAACGTGCCGAGGAGAGAATAAAGAACAATGTATGGGACATTGAGGCATGGAGTGTTATTTTGCGTGATGCACAGTCCAAAAAAATTGAAGACGCCCGGGAATCTTTCGAGAGGATTATATCCCAGTTTCCCACCGCTGGCCAATATTGGAAAATATACATCCAGCAAGAGGTATCTCACATCATTAGTTCCTGCGTCGTCTCTGTAACTCGGTTCGCTTAGTTTCTTTGTGCTTTGAATTTCGTATTCGAGGTGCAGTTTCCTTCGTCACTATCGTCGTCTGTGCACTCAGTACTTTGCTGAGAACTTTACAAAACTGTTTATTTTGGTCCGCACGTTGATTTTTCCCTCTTCAATTTTAGATGAAGGCAAAAAATTATGATCGTGTGGAAAAGCTCTTTCAAAAATGCCTCGTTAAAATTTTGAATATAGATTTGTGGAAGCTTTATTTGCAGTATATCAAGGATACGAAGGGCAAACACCCCAATTTCAAGTGGATTTCTTGTTTCTGTCTATGAATATTTTAGGGAAAAAATGGCCCAGGCTTATGACTTTACATTGGACAAAATGGGTCTTGATTTAAATTCTTACTCGATATGGGCTGATTATATCTCATTTTTGCGATCTACGTAAGTGCTTACTGAAGGCTAACTTTACAAAGCACAACTTCCTACTCTACGAAATAATTTACAGTCAAGTTCAGGGCTCGTATGCAGAGAGTCAAAAGATAACGGCCACTCGAAGAGTCTACCAGAGGGCAATCATCACTCCGATGCTGGGTATTGAGACAGTCTGGCGCGATTACTGCATGTACGAGGATTCAATCAACCCGCACATTGCAAAGAAACTGACTGAAGAGCGTAGCCGTGACTATATGAACGCGCGCAATGTCACCAAGGAATACGAGATCATGACAAAAGGACTGTCAAGGAATATCCCTTCAGTACCTCCTCAAGTGACTCCGCTTGAAGTTAAACAGGTGGAACTCTGGAAGAAATATATTCAGTGGGAAAAAGATAATCCCTTAAAAACTGAAGACATCACTACGATCACTAAACGAGGTAAAATTCTCTACTGTCGTTTTACCCAAAACTGTTGTTTTATTTTTATCGTTGGATTATTCCCTCCTTGATAGTTATGTTTGCTTACGAGCAGTGTCTCCTTTGCTTGGGACATCATCCTGACATCTGGTATGAAGCCGCCAGCTATCTGGAGCAGGCTAGTAAACTTCTTGCTGGAAAAGGTGTAAGTTTCTTTACCCTAAATTTGAGATCTTTGCTGTACTGTAATGCGTTTTTGACAACAAAATGTGTACAATTCATGTAGCTACTGAAATCTACCCACCTTGACTTGAAACTTGCCTTCATTTTTTTGATTCAACAGGATCAAGCAATGGCTTCGCAATTTGCTGATGACACAGCTGCGATGTACGAAAGGGGCATCAATTTGTTGAAAAATAATATAATGCTTTATTTTGCTTATGCGGATTACGAGGAGGGTCGGTGCAAATATGCCAAAGTTCACAGCATTTACAAGAAACTCATCTCTATGGATAATGTTGATCCAACTTTGGTTTGTTTCTCGCTAGCTCAATTTACATAGTAATACGACCTCATATTCATGGCCTTCTGCATTATCCACCTCATCTAGCCGTATATTCAGTATATGCGTTTTGCACGTCGTTGCGAAGGCATTCAGTCGGCGCGCCTAGTCTTTAAGTTGGCTCGCGAAGATCCCCGTATCGGTTACCAAGTTTTTGTGAGTGCAGCTTTGATGGAGTACTTTTGTAGTAAGGTAGGTGTTTGTTTCCGTTTAGTAGGTATTTTTCCTCGACTGCTTGATGTCGCTTGCACTTACAAACGCATTTGCATGGTAACAATAATCGTTAAGACTGTTGAATTAGGTTCACTTAGCATCTTGCTGTTGCTGTCATCATCAACGGTATTGACCCACAAATGTAGCTAATGATAATTAAAGCCCAATAGAATTTGCATAATCTCGACGTACATTTATTTATTCCAGAATTTGGAAGTTGGGAAGAATATATTTGCGTTGGGTATGAAGCGCTTTGCAGGCAATTCCGACTTCGTGCTGTGCTACGTTGAATATATGTCTCACCTTAATCAGGATAATAACACTCGAGTGCTTTTCGAACGCGCTCTAGGATCCGATGAGATACCCACCGAGCGTGTTCGACCCATTTGGGCTCGATTCTTGCAATTTGAACTTCAGGTGATCGCTCATCTTTTGGGATTTTCTTCATCTTAAGGGACGTTTGTGGGTTGATTCTAATTTATTTGATGAAAGTACTAATTAAAGCCTCCTTAAAGACGAAACATCATTGAACCTTTTTTCTTCATGTCTAGGTTGGTGACCTTGCTAGCGTCCAGAAAATCGAGAAGCGTCGACTCAAGGCAATCGAGAACGTGAAGGAATTTCAAGGACGCGAGACAGCTCTCTTGATTGATCGCTATCGATTTTTAGACCTTTTCCCCTGCTCTGAATCGGAACTGAGGTCGCTCGGTTATCGGGTGAGGCACACCACGTTCCTCACTTTGTATTTGCCTCTGAATTCTCTTGATAATGGGAATAGGTTAGGCGTTCAATCAGTTATATTAAGCATTGCCTTTGTAGGAGCTGGCGAAGCTTAATGTGACCGGTGCGGGGTGTGCCTTCTTGCACTCGGTGGGTATAGGTGCTCCAGGTGAGGACGTGCAGGTTGCAGTTGGTAGTGGTGTTTCGAACCAGTCGACTCTGCCACTTGCTGAAGCGGGTGACGGATCAAGCATCCTGCCTAGTAGCGGCGCGAAGCAGCCTACATTCCCGCAACCTGATTTTGCGCAAATGTTACCCTTCAAACCGAAGGCTTATCCACGTACCGGTAGCCACCCCGTTGCAGGTGGTGAGTTCCCTCCACCTCCTGCTGCCTCCGCTCTCATCCACATGCTTCCTCCCCCGGAGTGCTTCCACGGCCCTTTTGTGCAGGTGGATAAGTTTTTGGAACACTTCCTCAATCTCGAAATACCTGAGGGTGAGTTTTTCCCCACTTGAAAAGTCTTCTCCAATGTCATAACTTGATTCACTTCCACTTTTGGCTGAATTTTGTATGGACTACGGTTTAATGTTCTCCCTTCATTAACTTTGTGTGGTGCTTATTTTTGTTTACTTTTCTATGTGACAATCGTAAATATTTTTTAAGGAGATTACTTAAATCTGGAGGTGACAATTTTTTCTAATAGTCCGATATGATACTTTCGGATACTATTGCTTTCCGCTCATTTTTAAACCAAGAACTGTTAATCTAATGCATGTTTTTATCATACATCTCGTTCTTGGTACAACCCAACTAGTTAACTATCGTTTACTATTTCCGATCTGAAAGTATGGGATTCGGTAGAGGAAAAATACCTATCGCAATTGCCACAAATTGAGTTTTGCGTATCCTTTCAAAAGAGAACAATTAAGTTGGCAACCTAGTACTAATTCTCTTCTTTGCTCTTCCTATACCTTCTAGACTATATTACACAGGTGATGGCTGAGTCGGAGGACGTGGCGATGACTAACATTGACGCAGGCACCGCAATTTCCATTGAGATGTCCAATACAGTACCACAGCAAGTACTAATGGCAGCGGCGGCTCGTCGGCGCAAGCAGCTGCAACAGCAGCAGCAGGAGGGTGTGGTAGCAGGGCGAAAGCGCTCTGCCACAGCTACCACCAACGCCTTTGGGGACTCGGAAGATGAAGCGGAGCCTGAGGAAGACGACGAAAACGACCCAGTTTTCAACGACGATGTCGAAGCTGGTGGTAGCGGCAGCGGTTCTAATGTCACCTCTGGAGGCCTTCTTGACATCTTCAAGTTACGACAGACCAAACGCCATAATGTTGCCTGAGATCCACTACTCCGCTTTGTTAATGTAATCGGGAATCTGTGCATGTGTATATATTATATATACTCAGCCTACTATTCTCTTTAACTCTATCACCATTAAAGTTGCTTCATATGGATGTTTTGGCTTTATTTGTTGACGATTTCCCATCGGTCTTGATTCGGTGCACACCAGTGCCCCATCTTCTGTTGTAAGGGTTTTTCGCCAAATAAGCCCGATGTTGGCATCACTCCGGTATGGATTTGAAACGCGGATTGAAGCGCTGCCTGACTAAGTTATAACTTCAGATCTTGTGAATTGAAATCTCGGTGATAATGTACACCCTCTACCATACTTTACGACAGTTCAAGTGTAAACGTGAAGTCCAGTCGAGGCAACCAAATCTTTGCTGACAATCTTGGGATTACCACTGAAAAGGGGTCACCTTGACGTATCTTGCAATCGAAGGTGCCAACGGTTTTAAAACCCAACCGCAATTAGTCGTTTAGGCCTGTGCTAACGCCTTAATGCAACCAGGTGGCTAAACCCATATCTGTGGGGAAAGCCGTGAGGATATTGAGAAAAGAAGCGCGGCGCCTGCGTCTCCTTTATTCTAGCTCAGCTTGCAGTTAAATCATTGAATTGTGGTAAAATAAATGTCTGCGAGCTGTTTCGTCATGTGATCTAAATCCTTAAGTATTCAGATTGCCTAGAGGTCATGTTTAGTTGTGTTTTGAGGCCAAGACGGAGAGAGCTAATAAAAATGCTAATGAGCAGTGAAATATTTTTACGGGCAATGGCATTTAGTAGGGGGATGGGCGGCAAGCGGAAATGTAATCGATTTCGGTTAAAATAAAGTCACATAAATTTGTTTTAAAATAAGACGACGGAAACAAAACAACGCAATAACTTTTAACTTTCAACTGGAGGTTCTTCATCCGATGTGGATTCCAATTGTGCCAAGAGTTGCATCAGCGCAAAATGAAACTGTGCGGCTTGTTGCTCATCATCAGCAGGTCCACCCTCATTAGTATCCACAATTACGAAAAATATCGGTCGTGGAGGCGGTTCTGAATTGGCTTGGTGAATGCGAATAGCACTATGCACGTCTTCGTCCGATGGCGTAACAGAGATTCCTGGAGTCAGTTCCATGTAAGCTTCTTCTAGGGACTGACCCGATTCAGCGGGCATCTGGGCCTCTGAAATTTGAGGTTCGATGGCCGATGACATCAACAAACGGGTGAGTTCTCCTGCAGTGCGAGCTTCACCTATATCAGTTTCAAGAGTTCGGGGATCAGTGTTTAACGATGAGTCGCTTGTAGTTCTATGCAATCCAGAGCCGTGATCTTGTGACAGTTGTGGTGATGTTTCTTCATTCAGATTATCATCATCTAGCTCTATCATATCAGGTCCACTCTCGAAAATCAACTGCTGTATATTAGCTGTCGGACCGAAAAACCAGACGTCGTGATTTTGTGGAAGCTGGGGCAGACCACCAAACATCACCCCGAATTGAGGAGTAATTTGGCGGAAAAAAATAGGGCGCGGTTCTGGTGGAGGCCACTCGAGTATGCGTTCCTCATTACCTGGTGTTTGTCCAAAGCCCCTAAACCTGTTCATTCCAGCTGGATGGGGTTGCCTTCTTGTAGGCGATGCAGAATTTGAACGATCATCAATGACGGGACAGGAGTTGGTTCCAAAGCTATTTTCCTTTTCATTTGATACGGAAAAACTGAAGGACCGAGTAGATTTGTTGGAGCAACAAAAATTGTCAGATTTTCCCTGGGAAGTAATCTGGGGTTCTCGTGAGTCAACTGTCTTCCTATCCCTTCTGGTGTTCTTGGGATTATTATTATTCGCCGTGGATTGCATCAACAAACCTGCATTCTTGACACACCGATTATAAGGACGATTCACATGCAAGTGGTGTTGCAGCTAAGGTGGTATCAAGCCCTAAGAATATGGGAGTATTGAAGCGACGTGGATGTGCAAAATACGCGGGAGACACGTCCTATCGATTGGCCTAAGAACCGCATTTCCCACGTGATGTGCGCTTGATTTTTATATTTCCTAACGAGAACACACAACATGCTTAAACAAACCTCAGTTCTAACATTAAACTTCGCAACACATTCACTCAAAGCATAAATCTATTTTCAGCATTTACAATGAAATTCTTGCCCTGAGCCCAAGCTTAAACATTGGCCACCAGTGTATAGCTTCACGGTTGATCAAAAATCAGGGTTTGGGCGCCTTTACCAGAATGAATCCGTTAAGAAGCACGCCCCAACAGGAACAGCCACACACTAAACCTCATCCCCACCTAGTTTTTAGACAGCCGTGGACGTTCAAACCTCGAAAGCAAGTACTCCCAAAAGATTCGTGTTTCGAAAAAGTTAGCATGCTAACTTTACTCTATTACGGTCAACTTTGTGAACTAGGCCCTGATTGGTTCTAAGACTTGTACGCACTGCACCGTAACGACCCGTAAGAATGCAAACATCCTACGTGGAAACGATTACCAGCATCAATTAAATTTTTCGAACCGAATCTTTAAATGTCGTGTTTTGGAGATCACAGAACAGTTCCAAAGTTCTGAACCCCGAAGTGGATACCAGAAAATTGTTTCTGCAATGTTTGCGACATGCGATGGAAAACGGAACAGACTTTCTTGGGAAATTTTGTAAATACTGTATACTATTAGTTATATTATCATAATCGTGATGTAAGTGGACCAAATATTCCGATTTGTGGCACAAAGGACGTTAATTCAGATTGGTAGGGAGGCTAGTCGTTTGGCTAATGAGGCTTGGTAAAAACCGGGCGAATTAAAAACGAGGACAGCAGAGCGCAGACTGCCTTCATTCATGATATGCCTGTGGAAGTTCTCAAGCGTTGATGCAGCCTTTTCTAAGAGTACCTAGGCCAGTACGCCAAATAAAAATGTAAGAATGACAGATGTTCAACAATCGAAACGCGTCACACATTACCATTGTGCGGATTTGAGAGGGGGATTAAAAAAACGTTAAGAGTAGTGTAAATTAATAGGAAATGATTTGTCAAATTTTAAGTGGAAAACACAAATCGAAAAAAATTTAAAAATCATCTTAATCGGAATTACAAGGGGTAAGTGAATGAGAAGAATGATCAACTGATCATCAAACAGAAATATGGTACTACTAGACAGATTACCTTCGTGTCTGCATTGTGACGTCTCAAAGCCGAGAACAGAAGGTTGAATACAAGTTGAACATCAAAGTACGGGTTGACTTCATTTGGTTCATAGCAAACACCTCTGAAAGAGGTTGAAAGGGAACAAAAGGGAGCATGTTTCCGCCAACTATGCAGTTTAAGGCAAATCAGGCTACTGAGCCTGAGAGGAAATTATCAGTGACAAGAAGGCCCTAGCTAGCATAAAAAAGACAGAAGATGCCCTTGCATACATTGAACGATACTTATGCAGATTTTCAGCCCGATTGACGATCGCACCAAGTTGGCACTGGAGGAACTCAACTAACCAGTCGACGGGATTTGAAAGGAATGATGGAAGCCTTGAGAGGATGAGGTTAGCTCCATATAACAGACAAACGGGATGTTGAAGACCAAAAATACGAGCAACTGTTCGACCTGTCACTTTGCGCACATCAGCAGACTCGTCAAAAAGGTCACAAAATAAGATGCGCATAATGCTACATGGGAAAAAAGAGATGATTAAAGTGAAGACTGTGCCGAAATTGGGAAATTAATGAAGCCATTGTATAAGGGAAATAACACGAAAACCCAACCTAGCTAATTGAGAGTCAGAGAAGTCATCAACGGGAGCCCGATCATTGGTGTCAAACCATACGAAGAGTGCAAGCGATGCCTTTAACCTCAAATGCTCATTCATTGTTGCTGTAGTTAGGCAATGGTGCAAGTGTTCCACCCACCATGCGGTATACATGCTAAAACAGCAAAAAAACGGTTTACTTCAAATGCGAAAATACTTAGAGAAGAATGTTTGTTAGGTGTCGCCTTGGAAGTTTCCCAGGACCATGATTAAATCTGTAAAAAAATTATCTCACATAATGATGGCACATACTTGAATCCATATTAAACTAAAAAGGGTAAGTCTGAAGTGAATTTAACAAATTGTGAATAAGGGCAAAAAAGGGTTATGAAAGATCTCTGTTTGTTCTCCAAACAAAGCAGTACAACTTACGAGCGTGCCTGGGTGTCATGAAGATGTGCTATCGGAGAAGCAGTGACCAAAAGAATGGCTGGAAGGAGCGAAGATCCCTGTGTTTCAGTGAAAGACCAAGTGGTCAGCCTCTTGAGGCAGCAAATGATCGAATCCTCACTCCTGGCAGCCATCACACAGTCATTCAAGGCGAGACGCAGAAGGGCGGAAGAGAGAGCCTTTCCAGAGACTATTTCCTCAAGGCTGGGGAGAATTCTGCATTTTATGTTGACCAGGAGGTGGGCTAGAAGATTCTCCTCTATGCGATTGTTGGGACTTGTGAAAAATATGTCATGGGGCTCCGAGGACAGGTGCTTAAAGTTGTCAATTGTGTGGTAGAGATCGTAAAAGGCCGAATGAAATTCGGAGAAGAGGGACTACAAATAAATTGCAAGCGATAAAAACTGGTATTAAAGACTTCAACGCGTTAGCTTGCAGGAGAAGCATGCATCAAAGAATACCTGATCAAGCAAATCACCTGCGCTGTCTCCCAACTGATGGTAAGTATAGCGAAACTTAAATTCCTTGTGATATTGAGACTTTTCCATAGAAGGACTGTACATGAAAACATAGCGCAACACAGTCGCCATTTGCGCCGCTAGATACCAGTGTTTTGATTCGGGTTGAGTCCACTCGATGATGTACTTCATTCCCCTAAACCAGTCAATAAGTCTGAAAAAGATGACAGAAGAACGAGGGATGTAGCAGGTTAAGGATCCCGTAAACCATCGAATTAGAGCGCTATAAGCCAAAAGTGTTGTTTAAGATAAAATAAATAACCATAGGTCGATCTAAAACAGCGTTGAATGTAACGCGATTCCGAGCTATTTCCTCGAAATACGCTGAATGTGCAGACGTGATCATGCCCGCCATTGTCTTGACAGACAAAAAGAGGTTGCGCAAGATTTACTTTAACCTCCAAAGGCCTTCAATTCCCCCGTACCAACGATGCCTAAAACAAAACTTTCAGCAATCTACACGTCATTATTCATGCTTTCGCAAAAACCAAACCACACTTCAAAGCCCCTTCACTCTATCAATATCGAACGCTACAAGAGGAATTATTCGCAAAATTTATGAAAAAGAAAGTACATTAGTAGGGATGCTTCCCTCAAGGGATGTATCAAAGCGTTGAATGTATGTCCATGCGTCGCTAGTAAATTGTGAGGCAACCCTGAGACCAATTGACCAGATGGAAAGGTACGCCATTAGAGTAAGTTAAAGCCAGACATCGTAAGGCAACAATAAACAAAGCTAGGCACCATCTATCACCGCCAATTTCTGTAGCCATAATGAACGGTCCAGATAGCCGATAAATGATAAACTTAAAAAAACCGCATTCCGTAGCTTCAGAGCATCAGTACCAGAAGGCAAACAGGCCTATGAGCCAATACAAAAAATAATTTCAATCTGCTCACTAGTTTATGGAAGTTACTCCACTAACAGTTATGAAATTAAGTACGTATTGGTGCCACTTGCTCGCAATTGTAGTTAATGGCTTAGTGACAGTTCACAATCAACACTGCTCAATAACCTGAAGCTAAAGCTATTGTTACGAAGATTTTAAACCTTAAGTTTGCAATTCAATAATAACAGATGTGATGCGATCCGTAGTGGTATCAACAAGTACAAATTAGTCAGAAATACCATACTTTGCACGTTCAGAGGATTCTTCACTGGTGAGTGCGCCTCGAAGCCAGGCCTCGACAGCAAAGAGTTGACCACTGATCGCGTTGCTGGTACAAATGTAACACGAGGGAAAATTTACACTGAGAGTTCTTCGGAAGATATGCTGGAGTCCACCCGGTATATCAAAGATGGCAGAGTCCACGGATGGTGTGACAGAGGGCGTGAAAAAGGCAACGAACGCCTCGCCAGCCAAGCGACGGACCTTCTCCACACGATGGGTCAAATAACGCCGTAGGCAGTCAAGCATCTCCTCCTTGCTCTCTTCACTAGGTATTTTAAACAAACAATTTCAAATTGAGGTAAACTAGGGTGTCAAAGTATTTCAGTTAGCTCCGCAAAATATCTAGTCCAACATGTTCAAAGGCACAAAAAAAAGTGGCGTCTCAAGTTGCATGCAAATTATCTATATGAGCCTAAACCGATTTCAATTATTTTACGACAAATGCCCGCAAAATGCATAGAGGTCGCATACGATAAAGGCCAATTAGGAGAAGGACTAAGCCGTGAAAGGAGACTGAGAATGGGAACTGCCGCACTGCGTGAAAGCCGCTTGCCAGTGAGATCCGCCAAAAAAGTGTTTAGAAAAGCCTTGAAGAGAGAAGGATAGCGACCAAATACCTCCGCCACCGTCGTTTTTGGACGTGAATAGAGTGGACCGACTAGACGCTTCATTAGAGCCCCTAAAATAGGAGTGATACTCAAGTACGACACATTCAACCACAATTCAACTAACCTAGTAAGTTAACCTCCCAGATCTTGCACTATAAGACTTAAATACAAGTACACAGCATTTTACGCGATTTTTTTCTTCCAAAAAGTTAATGCGTTCAAACCAGCAAAATGCGGTTGTGACAGAATAAAGCCACTAAAAATTTGTCATGGGATTCCCAACGTCTTTATATGCAGTCACAGAGACAGGAATCCTAGGTACCGGTGCTTTATCTAGTCGATCAGAAATCAAAATCAGTATGGAAGAAAATGACAGACGTACCATCAGACGGCGAGGATTTCGACACAACGGACTGCAAAAAAGGACTGTAGATTTTAAAATAAACAAAATATCTGCATTCTGCGCAGTCTCAAGAACAGACGATACATCGGACAAACCCAACCATAAGGGGTGCTAAATTAGTTTCATAAACTCCTTGTATTTATACTACTCCTTGTAATTTAAAAGTTCGACCTCTAAATCGCTTAATCTGTTACCACATAAGTTTGACACATCGAACCGATGTAGAGGTATTGTGAAGAGGAGCCTACCAAATAGTTGCAGGGAGGCATTAGCGATGGTCCACTTGTCTGCTGTGAAGTTGGGTAAGGCCAGTCGGCAGACAATAGCGGTGAACCAGTCATCGCTGCCAGGAGGTGGGGATGAGGCGAAGGCTACGGGTCCCAACCGGGAGTCCTCGAAGGCACCTTTTATAAGATGCAATGCTAATGCCTGTGGCGGGTCGTGTTTCATTGGATCCATCGATTCCGCGGTATCCCTTGACATGCTACCGAGCTCAAACATAGCGAACAGCCACCGCTGAAGAAGCGACTACACCAGAGGAATATGAGCACTTGGTTCAACTAGCTCAAAGAGGAAAGAGAATGGAATAGTACCTTGTCAAGAGGGACGACAAGTGATTCCGCCATGAGAGCCGCCTTGGTAGCTGGCCAGAGTCCAGCTGCACGTCGAGTTACCGAAAACTTTCCCATCTTGACAGCTAATATGCAGACATCAATCACCTGATCGGGACGTATTAATTTTTCACCAAGGTCCTTCAAAGTTAGAGACTGTCCCAATGTGATGTGCTGATTCACGCATTCTGAGATTGTGAGATAATCCCGAAGACTTTCGTGTGCGGCTTCAACTATACCCTGAATGGAGAACGCACAAAAAGACAATGACAAGCAAGACCTTTTAAAGTGTTAGCATTTTAAGGCAACCTCACCTTGTGGCGACAAGCCATAAGAATGAAAATTAGCTGTTTGCCTATCAGCAGTAAATATCGCTGTGATGTCTCATCCATTGGTTCTTCGCGAAAAATAGCCAATGAGACACGAAACCAAATCCATTTAACGAGAATGCTTGAAGTCAGCTACATAAAAAATATCAGGGAAAGTTCAACAAAACCCTTATGATAGTCCAATTCCAGAGAAGGATGTGTTGATACTCTGAAGAAAGCTCGATTGGTAGATTAGTAGGACCCATAAAACTATAAAGTCAAAGGATGGGTTGGCCATAATTTCATGATACCTCTCCAAATCAGCATAACACGCTGTTATCTTCTGGGCTTGAAGTGTGAGACCAGTGATGGCTCGACCAAGAGCTTCAAAGGAAGATATTTCACCTGAAAATAGGTGCCAGAGGTTGAGTATGAATAAGATGTATAGAGAAACAAAAGGGAGCAAAAAACTACAGCCAGCAATCAAATGAGAGAGACTGGACTCCTCAAGGTCAGAGTACGGACAAGGACACCCAATCATCGCAAGACATGAGCTTGAGAGTTGGAGGCAGCACTCAGCCAGCCGAGGACCGAGAAGGTCACCCAGACGATCTGAGGTGGTCAGATCTGGAGGATACTTGATTACAGATTGCGGAAATCGTGCTTTGATACCGGGTCTATTGCCAAACCAGGAGAAAATATTGTCAACGGCCGTCAAAAATCCTGTAAGAAAAAGGAGCATTGTAAATGAATCTCTATTAAGATAACTTACAACGAACGTATGGTTTAATTATCCAGTAATGGAAACAGAGGTGGAAATCCCTCTTCTGCAATACATTACTTGCAAAATGGAGTTTCTCAAGAGAACTTGAGAAGCTAACGCCTTGGTTCGACAGTCGTGAAACATTTAGGCTACTAAAACAAACTATTAAAAGCATAAGCATTGCTTTGGCGGAAAAATAAGCAGAAATCGGAACATAAACGATGAAATAATCTTATTAAAAACTCAGTTGATAGAATAGAGCGTTGCAGAGAACAAAGGTAAAGCTGTATTCGTTTTACTCTGTAAGTCTTCGGAAGTAGGTGAGAGGGATGAGACTGATCTGCTGCATAATGTGCATTAAAAGCTAAAACATCCTATAAGTGCACTTTATGCGTGACTGGAATGATATCAGAGCAAAATGCACACTTACCGTAGCCCGGTTTATCCATGATTCTTTGCACTACAAGACCAGTCATCGTTTCGGACGAAGTCCTCTCTAAAGCTTCCACACCTTTGCATAGATCAAGGATGTTTGCCAACAGGTCGGAGGCCAATCGATTGGCGGCATTTAGATCAGTAACACTACAACAAAGTAAATGATGTGCTGACCTTTATAAGCAAGTTGTGTACACATGTGAATACACATGGACAGGCATACGAGATTAGGATCCAATGAAAGAGAGTAGCACCCGCGGAATATACCTCGGGTAGGTGGATATTAGACCAGGTTTTGGCGAGCCGAAGTAGATCAGAAAGAGCTTCTGGGGTGAGCCACTCCGATGACGAAGTCTGTGGCCAGTACGTGGTGAGGATATCCAAGAAAATGGTCTGAATCTGGTACCAATAGAATAAAGGCCCAAACCGAGTTTCAACGGGATGTGAGTATGAGGGAATATACTAACACCTTAAGTGAACCTTGTGTCGCAGGACTGGTAACACTGGCTTAAACAATAGTCGGCTACATCAACACCACTATGTGCAGCGAATGCACAAAACAGAAGTAAACCATATTCAGTTGCAATTGCCCCAAAATGGCTATGCCTATGACCCAGCATTCAAAGGAAGTCGCACGAAAAGCAGTGAAAAGAACCCAAAGTCACGTTTTAAAATACCTCAAGGTTCACGTTCGGTAACGAGGATATCAGCTGCATCCACGTGGTGCGCTCGTTGAGCGAAGGAAAGCCAGTAACTTTAATGACACGGCTCAGAATTTGTTGTAAATTTTTCGCCGTATCTTGGAGAGTAAAAAGGACTTATAAATTGAACGATGTGCAAAAGTCGGAAGCAATTAAAGCAAAATCTTTCGATAACAATGGTGCCACAAGCACACATGCGTACAACTGCGAAAGTATAAAAAGATTAAGTTGTGTTTTCCACAGCACTTAAACTCTATTCTAGGTATATATCAACAGCAAAAAACGGTCTCAACCGATAGTGCCATTGCATATATTCAAAGTAGATATGTGCCTTCTGAACTTACGGGGTTCGAAGCCAAAGCGCCTGAGGCTTTCCTGTTCACCCAACTCCGTAAAGGAGAGTTTGAACATATTACTGATTAGCATCCCCATCATCTTTTGCTGCTGATATGGTATGCCAGGAGGAAGGATGGGCTGTGACAACAAGTCCTTTAAAAACAGCGTTAAATCGGGTAATTGAACTTCAGACAAAACATCGGAAGTCGTAGTATAACGTGACCACAGAGAGGTCGCGAAATCATAAATCTCATCTAAAAGGGATAGGAAATCACATTGCACATTTCAGATCCTATTTGTACATCTAAGGAGATTAGAGAGTACATCTATCGTCGAATATTCCAAAAATATTCCACACAACACTAAATATGAAAAACGACCGGACGCAGAGGTACAATGCGCATACTCAAAGCTCGCAGATGAGACATCGCAGTAACATTAAAAACAGACACCGTGACATCAGGTTGCCCATTCGCCTTAGACCATTGAGATGTGGCCAAGATATCAACCTCCTCAACTAGGAAGGTGGAGCAACGATTGCGAAGGTTCAAAGTCATCTCAAAGAAAGCATGGCTTGCCGCGTTGCGCGCGGTGGGGTCGGTGGACGACAGAAGGCTCGTGAATCCTTCTAAAACCCACCGATAAAATGTCGGCCTTGGCACCTCTGCGGCTGGAGCTTTAACAATTAGAGCCACAAGGGACTTGCACATCTCCGCCCGGATCCGATCACTATTGTGACGAAGTGCCACTTTTATGAGGTCAGAATGCTACAAAAAGAAAGAGTAAAACTCCGACTGAGCACAGTTTCAAAAAAGTATCGTAGACATGCTTGACAGCCAAAAAACATTACCTATCAGTTGATGTATGTGCCTTATGATAGTAGAAAAATGACAATATTTGAACCACAATGACGTGAAGTTGCATTAGGCCGAATTTATTTGGCATTAATCTCAACTTTATTTAAGTTCCGTATGAATAATTTGGTAAGATGGCAAGATTTTAAACCTATTTCTACTACCTTAAACGACGACTTGCTTGACAATATGATTTCAAGTTTCCTCAAGTTGGGTCTCAATTATAACTTACTTCTTCGGTTACTTGAACGGCAACATTAAGAGGGAGCAGAGGTAGAAGAGCAACGAATATTCTGAGGCGAAATTCGGAGACATGGCTCATACAGGGAATGGCCATCTCCAATAGGAGGGCCAACTGATGAACGATCACCTGCACAAGAGGAACGTCCTCTGCATATGACAGATCCTCTGACTCGTGGTAAAGGTCTCCAAGTGGAAGGCTCGCAAGAGTGGAGTTGCAGCAGAATAGAATAAAGTTTTCAAGCCGCAATTTCTGCAATGAACACCTCCATAAGGATTTTAGAGGCTGATGTTACTCAGACAGAAAGTCTATTTGAAATGTAGACTCAGGGCTACTTCCATTGATGTGATATTTACCAACTTTAAAGAAGCAGTGCAAGAAAAAATCGAAATTGCAGTGCCATGGATGCTGCCACAGGCAAATAGAAAAAAGTGCTCTTATAGACACCAAAGTAGGTAAGACAAATACTCACGGCGGCTTCAAAAATATCAGTTTCAGATAAACCCCTCAGCTGTTTTTCGGCCGAACAAGAGAGAACACCATGCATCAGAAAGTTGGCCAGTGGAGTAAGTACATGCTCAAGCCAATCATTGATGTTCCTCCGACTGTAAATTATAAAACAATCTGACACTCGATCGTGACAAAACCAAAGCGTACAACATAACTAAATAATCCGGCTAAAACTTAAAAACTAGAGCCTACCACTGAAGCATGATGTTAGAAATAACGTCACCGGCACTGGCAGCACAATAATTCCACGCCAGTGAAAGCAGAAGGCTTGTCGTTAAATGAGGGGATCTCTCGAAAATCTGAAAAACATAGGTCAAATTGATAGAATGCCATAGAATTAAAAATTCTTCCGGGTGTTGAATTTAAACAATTACAATAACTGTTCGACGCCATTGGCGTCCTTAAAAAATTGTGAATTCTAACTTGATTGATTTCTTAACTTTGTAAAAGACTGACTACAAAGATAGGACAGTACCACACAGAAGACTGAAGCAACTAAAGTGAAGCATGATAGGCCGTAACAAGGGCAGGGCACGGTCGCATTGTAGTAAGGAGCAAATGTGCTCAAACTCACCCATGACAAGGGCGCGTGAATCGTTAGCGCCCTTATTAGCCTAATGGAACCTTTCGAAAGGATAACTGGCTCTGCTATGGAATATGGGCTTCCAAGTAAGCATTTTTCAATAATATTCGAAGAAAGCCAGTCAACAAGAGATTTTGGGAACCGGTGTGTTGTAAAAAGAAGTTCGAAAATACACGAAAAATAGTCAGTAACCATTCCCAAGACTCTGAAATCGTCAGAATCCCAGTGTGGTAATATGCGACAGCAAGCAGTTTTCAGAAGATCCACTTCTTCTTCAGCAATCTACACGAAAAGCAACGGGAAACCCCAAACATACCACTTCGGTATTATCATTTAAGAAATGTTGCTTGATGTAACTGTTTAAAACCTCGATGCACTCAGCAAGAACATCTGAATTTGAAGAAAATAAAAATGATTTGAGCACATTGAGCGATCCAACTAGGTCCACCTTCTGGAAGGAGGAGGCCTCAACCATTCCTCCAAACATTACCAAAGGCAGACGATCGGATACAGCACAGGACTCCAGACCAAGCTTTGTGAAAAGGAATGACATCGACAGATTTCCTGAGGCAGAATGTCAATAAAGCCACCAATTACCATCAACAAAAGAGACAAGTTCTTCCAATTTGATAGGACACCCCCATTTAAGACTGCTGAGAACCAGGGATCGGCAGAATTTCCGTTGACAAACGAGTGGACATGACAACTAACATTGTCTGAAAGGAAGAAACCTACATTCAAAAAGCAACGCTTCGCTAGGAAACACAATGTATCGTGGTATGAATACGAATCAGAACGGAGAATGCTTTGAGTAAGCGCCTACCAAACTCAGATAATAAAATCAGACGTTACGTGAAGGTCCTTTTTCAGTAGGGATATTTGATCAATCTTCCCCATTGGAATCTGTAAATGTAAAGTAAGTTTAGAGTCAATGAAAAGAGTGGACATAGTTTTAAAGATATGGCGAGAAAACTGTTAGTCCAAGAGAAACCACGAAGTAAGTAAAACAGAAACTAGTACCCATGAGAACAATAACAAGAGGATACCAGGACAGGTCAAGCGTTTGACCTCAAAATCCGAGACCAAGACGCTGCTAAATATCTACTGTTATCCATCAGACATGGCAAGCATGGAGACTTAATATACAAATATTCACACATCTTGGTATAGAAAACAAAAGAAAATGATCAGAGACGGTTAGCATCAGAATGCACATACGACCCTGAGGTGCTAAACTCCTATGTGATTCGCCTAATTTACCATTCTTTTAAAACTTAAGTTTGATAGTACGACTTGTACTCGTATTAACCAACCGTAAAAAATAATAAACTGCTATTGCATATTCAAACAGAGAAGTGAAAATCCCTACCCAATGACCTTGACATGTTCGACAATAGAGGCGTTTAGTACAACACCGGCTCAAAATTTTGCTTAATTATCCTTCAAATCGTCTGAATAGTGGGAATGAATGAGATAGAACACAACTCGCTTATTTGCATCCGTAAAATTAAACAAGTGCAGTTGCTCTTACATCCTCCCCATGTGTTGCTAATTTTTAATTGTACCAACTCCACCAGCATATGTGTCCTCGTGACTGTAATTGCATAATGAATGCAAAGTCCCAAGCCTTTACTGAAACACCCATATTACTGTGGCAGAAATTTTATTGCCTACGCAGTTGTCGAAGGACTATTGGCAAATCCTGCAATTTTTTAAAGCACCGGCGGCACAAGAAGAGATCCAGTGCTCTCAAAGCCGAACCAAATAGTCAAATAAAGTATCAAAACATTATATAGCTCTTCTCCTTTTGAGTTCAGTCTTGGGAGCCCCTTTTGTTTACCACCCTGCATCAGCCATTGCACTGTATTTAATGGTGAAAGAATAACACACAAAAATTAGTCGAAGGAATTATTGTAGGTAGCTTCACTAATCCTTCTTGGCAGCTCCATTCAGTTTGGATTTTGTCCTGTTTGGAAACTGTATTTGAGGAAGGAGCATTGCGATGAATCTAATGTGTTCATTGCTTTTAGTGAGCATACTGGTCCCCATAGTCCTACAAAAAAACAGATATTAAAGTAGTTTAATGGTTATAAGGCCTCGTAAGTATTCTTTTCTCTTAACTTGTTCCAGTTTTAGCGCTACTCAACCCTATTCATTTGGTCCTCATTCAGCTAGTAGAAAGGTGAGAATGGGTGGCGTCACTGTACAGTTTGAATTTTTTCAAACGAGTACCTATAGACAATTCCGTAACAAACTCCTTTAGATTTACCAAGGGTAGCAGCGTTTCTCACTTTATTGGTAAACCAATATGTTCATGTTTAACATGGATGAATGGAAATTCAGGTAGTCCGCCTTTGGGACCACGTTCGCCTTCAACGGCCACCATCGTAGCCAAGACGAGGGGAACCGTATTGCTATGGCATTGCTTTTGTGCAAAAGAGCTACGAATTGTTGGAGTGCCTTGAAGAATATGCCACCTTGGAGAAAAATAGGTACCAAACCTTAAGTGTGTGCGAATTTGCAATGAAGAACCAAACGAATGATCCAAGTATTAATAAACTAAAATATTATTATTTAACGCTATAAAAAATGTAAAAGCCTGCTTTAGGTCTGTGAGCACTCTCATTTCGGTCAAGAGGACCACCTGCGTCCCAGCATTGTACTTTTTTCAGGGGTCTTGACCTCTGCGTTTCATCAGTTGCCCAAAGCACTACCTCACTCCAAATTTTTGTTCTTCAATCGAGTGCTACACCTCTAGACGTCGTTAAAAGGTTTCAGAGCTCCACATTTATGCAAACCGAAAAGTAGTGAACAAGTTTATTAGAGATTTTGTCAACCACTCAACGGGACGTTTTTTGGCGAGAACCCGTTTGCAATGTAGTAGAGTGACTATCTTATAACGACGTTTCTATAAAAACCCCAAGAAGTAATTGCATTCAGCAAACAATCTCAGTCCACTATCACCTCATAACGTATTAATGGTCGTTGAAAGCACAGTTGTTGATCACCAGGTGCCAAGGGTTATTTCAATTGATTACATGTCATTTGATAAAGCATGTGCTCGCCCTGTTCTGCTATTATTTTGCTACTTTTATCTACTACCCCATTTGCAATTTTACCTTATTCCTCACCAAAAGATTTACCAGCAAAATGCGGGTTTAAAACCCTTATCAAGTAATCCTTTGTAAACGGATTTGGACCTAGGGAGCAACAATTTACATTATTTGACTATCCAGCTGCAAAGCAGGGTTTTCAACGGTAGTGGAGGTGGTTATCCGGATCGCAGCCTCATATTTTAGACAAATACTAATGAATTTTGAAAAGCAGCCCAACTGGCTGTTGCATCGGAGCAAAAGAAGTATCAACGTGCACCAAAGCTGTAAACCACTTCTCATCTTAGACATGGACACGCTTATATCATCAGAAGCAACGGATGCGGCTTTGTTCTGGTTCTCAATCACCTTTACTCAACCATTAGCGGATGCCCGAGTGCATAAAGGTGTCGCTGATTATAGCATTCTGAGTGGCCTATTGGCGATTTGCTGCAATAACCAAGGTTCAAGATACTTGTGTTTTTTAGCTTCTCATTTTTAATATACAAAGAACGCAATAGTCCGGTTTTATTACTGTCTACATTGCTGTATAGCTATGGAATGTTGGAGAGCATCCTCATAGTCGGAAAGGCTCAGGTGGCAAAATACTGACTGTCTTTCCAGCATCACTAACCTCAATGCCTTAACAACCTATACTTTTATACGTAACAATTTGTGCCATAATTACGGTTTGATATTATATAATCCTTCCTTTGCATTCTCCCTCATTTACGAGTTAAAGAGCCTTGGTGGGTTAGAGACACCTTCCATCCACAGTGAATGGTGGCATCTCAAATACTTCGTTAAAATATATACGTCCAGAAAAAAGGAAAGAGATCAGGACTTTTGGCATGGCCCAAAGACCAGACTACATGCTGAAGGCAATACAGCCACCTTAGTCACCACAACCGATACTGGTAAAGTAGCCGGGACTTCTGAAGGATTAGAGCCTACCTTCTCCTCTCATATCGGCAGCGTCTCCTCCGACGTTTTCCTCACTTCATCACCATCCATCATAATGGTGTTTAGTTTGTATCACAGATTTCTTTGAACGAAGACGTTAATTTCGAATTTAATTTTGACTGCAGTTTTGGTCAATTTTGGTGGCATTTTCTGCTACCAAATTTGTCTGTAATCGGACCTCGTGTCTTGGGTACCTGCTTCACTGTGTTATTTTGCTGCTTCACGTCTCATGCATTTCACTGTTGACATCGTCAACTTGTTAAGGCGTTTTTGATAGTTCCGTACAAATTCGTGCGAACCCTAATTGGGGAAATTCCTCCACCCACAAGTGCAGGCACTTTTCGCGCGGTGCATTTGAACTTGCCAAAAGGAGTGAGTTGACCGGCCGAATGTTTCTGTTGAGGTTTAAACACACCTACGCACTTTTAACCCCCCAACTGCTTGAATGAATTTTTGAAAAGTACAAAAAATGTAAGAGAGAACAAGAAAATGAACCGGTAAGGATTGGTTTCGGTTGCTGCTAAAAATATTTACTTGGATAGTTGGCCAAATGGGCCACACTATGGAGTTCGTTTCCTAATAAGAAAGAGCCAATTTGTGAATTAAACTATGAATGCTTCTGACACAAACAATTGCTCAACTAGGAAATGCTTCTCGTAAATTCCAAGTGATGTGAAATCCTCAACCAGTTTACATATTCTTTCCCCGAGTTAAGAAGCATTGAAAATATCGTGGTTCCCACATGTCACGAAGGCTTAGTCCATTTTGAAACAACACAAACGAACCCGCGCTTACTCAGAGCATGGAGAGAAGTTTTCGGCAAAACACTTTAACAAATGCGAACCCCTAAACACTTAAACTTTCAACCATTTAATTTCGGAGTTATGAGGTAATTCTCCTAACATTTTTAACCTTCGCTGAATACTCACGCATAAGTGGATTTCTGACACTTCATGTATGATTATAATAATTACTGACTCCTACGTTCCTATAGAACAGTTTGCAGTGCTCTGAGTGTGGTGGAAAAATTTTAAAGTGATTTTTAAAATTGGATTACAGCTATTGTGCCTTCGACGTCTAAATTATTACAAGACAGCTAATGTCTGTCCCAAAGTGCGCATCAAAATATGTGCCTTCAATATTGAAGTACATGTTAAGTGTCGGTGGAAACTTTTGAGTGGTAAGCATGAATAGCTTAATTGAAACCCGAAGCATCATCACGAAGTGATGACAGACAGACAGACATGGAAACAAGGATCACCGCGTTAATGTGATTAGCAGAATGCTGCGATTTTGTGGAAGGTCTTTTAAGATCACTTTATCACTACTGATGCCCTCTCCACTCCTCGAAGCAAAGATAAGACCGCAATAGTTCACAGCTCCTTTGACTTATGCGCATAACGAATAATGGAAGTGCATGCCTCAGATTTGTGCTGCAGTGGGCTAGAAAAGACTTACTTATAGCGTTGCTTGACTAGAAGTTGCTAAGAGGTCTGCCATTAATTTAAGGTATGTAAAACTTCGGTGTCACAACACTTAACAATGTCAAAACTAGTGGATAATGGTGCAAACTTAAAAACCCACTCTCCTCTTTGACATTGTCGTCGGCGCATCACGAAAGTCAGTGCGTATCTGTTTAAGTGGCTGAGATACCGTACGTCACTTTGTCTCAGAATCGGGATTTGAAAAGCGATGCCTTGTGAATTGGTGGTAGACGCAGGAAAACCATTCCGTGGCATTCTACAGTATTTGCATGCAGCTTAGCGTGACCATTCCTTCAACTCTAAACGGGCAGTCTGCCTACTTTATGTGATTAACTGCCGAATTCCATCATGCTTCTGTAGGACAATGGACAACGGCTTACAAGATCCTTGTGTATTTATCCTCAAAAAGGAAAAAGTGTGCTGACTGGCCTGGCGCTTAAAGGTCTACTGCGAACGGAGGTCTGTTAAGCATTAATTGGGTGGATGGTAGATTGCAATTTTTCAAGAGGCAGATCAAGCCGTGTAATTTTAAAATTGCGCTGCTTTAATTAATTAACCACTCTAACTAACAATTAAAACTGAAAGTTTCACAAACAAAAGCTCTTGAGGAAATGGATTAAAATGTCACACATTGAAAATGTTGTTCTATCAGCATCGCGCGTTTATTTGGTAAAGAGAAGTCGTATTTTCTCACCACCTACCAAGTAAGTGGTAATTACGGTGACTAACACTCCAAATTCGAGGAAAAAATCCGTTTTCACAAGGAAAACTCCTCTACTCTTCCATACGCACGTATTATTTATCAATTCCATTATCAATTTTTGTGTATTACTTGTGGTATTAACCAAGTCAGTGATGTAAAGGTCGCCAGTTTGTCGAGTTACTTACGAATGGCTGTTTTTGGCACCATTTCCTTTAACCTTTCCCTTTCTCCTTGTAACAACGTTCCTGTCGACTGGGTGGAACCCATTTCTTTTCAGCTAAAGCTTTAGGCGCCCGTTTATTTCTTGCAGGTTGTAGGGAAGGTTATATATGAATGTGCGGAAGAGGCACTTAAAGTTACGCTTTCCATTCCCCTCTATCGCCTCAGAAGAGGCAAGCGTTTAAAGTGAAAACAGCACAATGTCACGTAACTGCTCAAATACGAGATTTTATGTCAAGCGCCGATTCTGACGTGATAACCTATAAGCACATCAAGAACAGATTTGGAAGATCTAATTCGATAAATTCCAGCATTTCCCAGCCTTAGTTGAATTGGGAAGGCAATGCAGAATGCCCAAACAAGCTTCCGCGGGCATAAAAAACGATAAAAGGAAAATTTCGCTTCGATGAGGTACACGTTAGAGGATAAATAAAACTTTGGTTTGAAGGATCGAAGATTCACGCTTTCGCAAAATGCAAAATTGATATTGTCAGAAAGAACGCACTTCAAAGGGTTTAGTGGGTGTACAACAAGGTTAAAAATCTTCTCAGACCGCGTTTTGTGCGCCTTTATTCGCGGCGCCCCTCGAGAGGTCTGCAGGGAAGGTTTGAGTAGAACGAAAGACACTGATAATTAGATGAAATTGTCCATTAAACCGACTCAAAACACTGAAAACGTGTTCGGCTCTAAAATTTCTTCGATTTACCGATTATGCTATGAAATCGTACGCAACCCGTGGAAAACGCAAGGTAGATTGCATCAATCTTTGCCCTTCAAATAAGTACGGTCCATTTAATAAAAGAGACCGACCTAGTTATTTGAGAGTTAAAATTTGAATTTCTGAGCGCTTCATCTCCTAGAAGGCATCTAAATTGTTGCATTCTGACAGGATAATAAAAAATAGCATCGAAAAAACCGGTACTGGAATTGTCGTTAAATGCACAGGAGATTTTCATATTTTTGACCTCAGGGGTTATGTGAATGGCTATAATAAGCATCCATTTGTCCCATTCATGAAGCAAATCAAAAGTTTATGCCCTTTTTAAGAACACAATTAAAATGATGGAGCTTAAGTTCATTCGTGCAAACAATTCAAACGTTTTCAAAAGCAGTTTTCTTGAACATAGGCTCCATAAATCAAGTTGGGGGAAAAACTTTCCCAAAGGATTCGAACTGTGAGCAAAGGATGTTAGCTTGCAAGGGAGAGAAAAATTGGGAAAGCACCCCATCGCATCAAGTTTGCTTTATCATTGGGAAATAATGCAACGAAAAGAAAGTTACTTTCTCCAGTGCACTGAAGAGGCTTCTAGACAGGCAGCAATTTTATGTCAGTGTGGGAACGCTTACTGTGCGGTTGGAGATTCCTCTGCTCCAATTGTGCATTAGAGGTTGTACTAAGATTTTTTTAGGAAACGTTAAGTTGTTTATGGGATATTAAAAATATAAGTACAAGACGTATCGCTCCTTCTTCTGAATCGCACCGATCCACTCTCAATCCCTTGTGTTTCCTACATTCAATGGGAGTATGAAAATATGCACCACTTTCTTGTAGAATGAAAAAAATGAACGACATGAGATTTCTCGCAAAGCATGCTGTTGCGCCTCAAGACTTTTCCAACGGCATAAAAAGCATAATGTTAGAACAGGCCATTGCCTGCAGACCACAGCTCGTGGTGAAGGTGAAACTGTGAGTCGTAAGTTCCCCTTAAAAGAATAGCGAAAGACTAAACATAATAAGCACAAATTTACAGTACATAAGTCGGTGCCTTTTATATCGCCACTACTACAAGAGGGGTCGTTCGTTGCCCATTTCTGTGCGTGTTGAATCATAAATCAAACAGAGGTACTTCATCAGCAATACGAGAACAGAATTTGATGCTAAAAACAATTTCGATTTAAGCGATGGTTGTTTCCTGCATTCCTCGATTATCAATAGCGTTTAAACTGAAGCCGCGATTCTGATAGATAAAACTGCCGTTGCCGTCGCCGAGGTGCATGCAGTGCTACAATTGCTTGCTTATTTTGCTAGTTGAAACTTACCCTCCACTCTTTGTAATCTCATCTGACTCCCAGAAGTGCAGGAAAAATTTTTAAACAGTCGCACGAAGTACAGTTGGTTATTAGTTTCTAAACGAACGAGGTGGATAATAGGGTAACACCTTGCGGTGGGAACATTTGTTTTGGCATCCGTGCGAATCTCAGAAGTCATTAATGCCACAGACTGCCACTCACGACGACATTTTCCATCTCGAGCGGGGAGGAAAGCCTAAGGGATATTAAAAAGCCGCGCATCTACAGATTAAAGCGCTTAAAGCCCCATACGTCAAGGCATGATGGCAGCCCGTCTTTACGACCGCATTATCCTTAAATTTATCAGCGTAACCATAGGCTTTAGGGTATATTACGTTCTGCAATGTTTTATTTCTTTTAGTTGTTCAAAACTGACAACCAAAATGGAATGGCTGAGGTGCTAATATCTTTATTTAGTAAAGTTGATGAATTACATCAACAGACGAAGTTTTATTCGCTCTCAGATTCCTTGTTTAGAGAATTTGGTTAGCATGTGCCATAAATTATGTATAAACACTAATAATAAAGAACCTGAAACGTGTAATTTTATCGCATTGTCGGAGCTGTAAACTCAGTGTCATAAAGCGTGTCATTAGAGTGATATGAATAGCTAAATGTAACGACCCAAGATTTGGACTTGGGAGACTATTTCTCCCAAGAGGTGGATGGAAGATTAACTGAAAGCGCTTTACGCCTTAACTTGCGTTGGAAATAAGCAGCAGTACATAATCGCTTTGTGTTCTCACTCGAAGCCTGACTTAGCCAGATGTGGCTCCACCTCAGGTTCCCATCGGGATGCTGACTGAAGTCGTTCGCCTACCCCATTAGGTGCTTAGTGCTGCAAAATAACTAAAATGCTATTAGTGTGCTACTGCCAGGTGCTAAAGGCGCTATGGGGCATAAATGAATCTCTCAAAGGATTTTTACGGGTAGCAAAAATTCAGAAGGCTGAAGAACTCGAAAACGTAGCGTATAGGTAATTAAACAGAAACTACTGAGTATGGTGAATGCAGGCTTGAAGACTATCTAGACAGCATAAACCTCATTCGAGGTGAGACTGCAGCTATCCTAATTTGGAGGCACCTTTTTAGGGAATGCAATGTCGACTAACCATACTTCAAAATGGTGAATACTGGGCCTCTGAAATCACGCTAGGCAAGAATTTACGTTGCATCATTTATGATGGGTCACTTGTAATTAGATGTAAAATTTAATTTTGACGTATAATTGATTAATTGCTCACTTGTAGTCGTCACAGAACTAGTATTTAACTTCTAGAATATTTTGTGTTCATCTGAGCTGCTTTGGGGCGTTGAAAATTTATCCTCTTACCTTAAAGTCCGCCTTTATGGGAAACCAATTTTTGACGCATTTCGTTTGGTTGCTATCGTTCTTTTTGTCGCCTTTAACCTTCGTGTGTGGTAGGGGTGCAATAAGGCCTTCCCCACTGTAGCATTCAGTGGTACGTTTTTTAGCTGTCATGCTGGAAGTCGATCGCAAAGACAGGTTTTCGATGTGAAAGTTGTTACAACTTCGGAAATTATGCTTTTAACACTTGACTTGCCCTACTTTATTCTTAAAACTACTTCTCCCCAAGTATGGTCATGCCGAGCATGGTGAAGGCGTTCCGATTAAGTGTGACCCTGACGTAATACTGTATTCACCGATGCAAAGATACGTTTCTCGTGTCAAACTGTAGCGACGCAAGCATGCAATTGGTGTCCCCGAGGCAGCGATCGGAACGTTCACTGGTTGCTGATTCCGGCCAATAAGCTTAGGCTATAAGCGTGGTGTGTCACAGTTAGCCCCGGTGGACACGCTTCGCACATGCATGACTGTACATAAGCGTGGTGCCCGTTTACCTTTGACTTTCACTCTAAGGTTAAGTGATGGACACACGAATAATTGATGGAATTACTAATTCAAGTGCCTCGATCGGGGAGGACAGGTCCTGTCCTGATGACGACTTTGTTGATCGAGTAAACCACACTTATACCATGAACCTTCTCATGTTCTTCACTGCGATTGTTCTCTCTCGCCAGTTGGTGGGAAAACCAATTAGTTGTTGGATTCCGAATGACTTCACAGGTGCGCAAGGTGAATACGCGGAGACGGTGTGCTGGGTCACCTCCACCTACTTCATCCCCCCTGCGCAGGCCACGGTGCCCATTGAGGAGGATATCCGATACGAAAAGAAAATCTACTACTATCAATGGGTGCCCTTCATTCTGATGATTCAGGCAGCGCTGTTTGTTCTCCCCTGCATTGTTTGGCGACTTTTCAATGCGCAATCAAGAATTAATGTGAGTACCACGAACTGTGGTTTCGGACCTAAGTGGCTCACTTAAAGTAGCACCAAACACGTGCATCAGATATGCAAGACTTGTCAGTTAATTCAACGATATTCTGTCACCGTGCAGATTCCCAATCCCAGTGATTGGTTGTTTTCGATGAGTGAAATCTCTTCCGCTTTGGAGAACCATTATGCAATACTGGACTATAACCAGTCGCGCCATTTATGTTGTTCTTAATTACGCACATTTAAAATAATTTAATTTTATCAAACGTAGTTTGCCTATCTCAGGAAAGTATAGAAAGTGAAAAGTGCTTTTGCCAGAAATTCTTTAAATAGCAACCTTAATTAGGCCTAAAACAGGACCATCGCTATTAATGCGCACCCAGCAAAGTAACGCTGGATGCATTGACCCGAAGTGGCTCCTTAAATTTGCAACTGACAGAATCTTGTGTAATTTGGTGCTTTTTAAATATTCATGTCTGGTGTTCCGTAAACATTGGTAGTGAGTTCAGGAAATGCAACACTGTAAGCAGTGCTGCATTAGACATTACATTTCAGTCATGTAGTACTCAAGAGATTACAAGACACGATATAGTCAAGTTTTCACCAAGTATTCCATCTGCGTTCTTTTGAGTCAAATTGATAGTACCTTTGATGACCCAAAGAAATCATTTTTGGTCATTTGTCACGGCAGAAACTTTTATTTGCTGGTCTTGCCCTCAATAGTGCTGCATGTAGAAACGTAGTTCTGGATAGAGAACAGGCACAGTAATAGTACGGAAGCATCCAGGCGATAAAAGGATACGTTTAAGGATAAACACTTCAAAACGGCTTTTGGGAGGAGCGCCACACGAATGTAGGCGTCTTGTTTATTGTTATTGAATTTCGTTGCTTATGAGCCGTTGGACTTGCTGATGAATAATAATAAAGCCGCTGTGCTAGTCGGCTAAAAATGGTTAGAGGTTGTCGGTGAATGCTTTCTTCAAAGTCTTTGGCGCATAATGGATCATGAAAGAAAAGTGTGAAGTTTTGCCTGCTGACCCATTTTGTGTTAATGTAGTGAATTTTCAAAGATGTTGACGTGTTCCAAAAGCCCTTACTTAGCCCACTCGAATCAACGTACAGTGGAACCATTTATCACGAGCAAGATATTGCTGTAAATTCTCTCAAATTATACCCAAATTTCTATGATTTTATGTCCACTTTCTGATTGGTGATCAAAAGAGCTGCATCAGCTTGCAACTGGAACCTCAAGCCGTCTCCTCACCCGGTTGAATCGTCACTAGGACGACGGTCTGCACTTTAAGTCAGCCTTGATTGCCGCTAATCGAAGTAATAAAAGTGCAGTCTGCTTCGTCTTTAGTGGTCTTTCGGACGGGCATGACCTTCACCCCAAAGGTCCCAGTTTGTAAAATGGGCGTTTTCTTTTGCTCATTTTGCCCATTTAATCTGCAAACTCTGAAACCCTTGCATTTCTGTGAAATTCCGTGCCACATTTTGCAACTCTGAATAGACAGTGACAATGACTGTGTGGGCTTTTAATTTATGATGAGATTTGCTGGGCGCACACCCGGTGGTGATTCATTTTGTAAGTAACCGGCCTTTCACAAATTCGCCACACTTCCTTCACGCAAGCCTTTTCGCCAACAAATGACGTTCAGACGAAACCGATGGCAGTTCAGTGAAGATTTTAAAGTATTTTTACGGGAAGTTGGTTTTCATTCAGAAGGTATAACTGTCTTGGCTGTCCAAATCAACGAGACAATGGCACTGGAGAATGAAGCAGCATTAAGGAATTTATATTACACTGCTTTTTTCAACCTTTCCAAACTCAATTTTGGGGTGACATATTTTCACTTAGCCTCTACCAGTGGATTTTGGTGTCTCCTTAGTGGTTTTACAATAAATTATGTCTTTTCGAGTAACTCTCACCATCAAATAGGTGTTGACATTAGCTTAAATAAGCTCTCGATGTGAGTCGGAGCAAAAGTCACAGAGCCAAAGAAGTGCAAGCTATCAGCAGCACTTTTTAGCAAGCAGTGGATTCATCAGAAGTAGCAAAAGGAGTTAACAGAGTTGTCTCCACCTTACAATGGTCACATGTGCTCTTCACGTAACGTGTTTTTTGCTAGTGTGCTACAACTTGTTATTTTTTAAGCTTATGCTTCAGCAATAATAATAATAATGATGATGATGATGACAAAATTAGGCTTAATTGTCCACAGACACCTATGGACTGCATTGTCCAAGGCTACAGCATCTAATTCGGTCTCTGATGGCCGCCGGTTGTCCGCCGGGTGAGGTTGGTGGTGCTGGCATTACTCTATTCCACCTTTATTAGCCATCGTGAAAGTTGTTATTTTCGCCTTTAGGCAGTTTGAGAGGACCTAAGGAAATTGGGTTGTTATTTGTTTCATTATATCACCATCAGAGATTTAAATTTGCGTAAACTTTTCGACACAGGAGCAACTTTTTGCCTCCGATTCGTGTGGTAGGTACGCATTAACTTTCAGGCCCTACTGGCCTACATCACCGAAAAAAGATAAACGCGAAGTGTCAGTTTTTGTTACTGCAACAATTGAATAAGTGTCTGAATTCATTAATACTGAAGCCTAATAGCATTTGCTTTTATTAGAACAAGCTGGTACTTTCTCACCGCTAAAGAATGAACGTAGTGTACAAACTAATGTAAAATTGTAATAAAAAGAGTTTTATGGGCGATATTGCTGTTGAAGAGGAACTTAATTCCCTGATCCTTATTGAGGTAATCCTCTTGCGGTTCACCGACTCAGTCAGCTCACTTGGATAATTAAAGGGCATCGAGTGCTTTCTCTCCTGCCGCCTTTCAGATGAGTCCGAGTCTTTTCTCCTGAACTTTAAAGAAATGTAGTTTTTTACCTACCCTAGTATGTTTTCAAGACTTCCAAATGTCAACTTACTTCTAATTTTGTTCAATGGCGCAGTCTCGAAGTATCCAAAACCATTCTTTGAAACGCTGGAAGTGATTACCTACGAAGGAGAGGTAATTCTACATTCATTTTGTACGTAAAACTGCATGATGAAATAATAAGCACAGGGTTGATCATACCCCTATCGAAGCATAATGTTAGAGGTAGTGCAGTCTTCTGTTCACGGCCGGCAAATCCGCTGGCTGCACTTGTGCATCTCCAATGATTGATGGGATGCTTAAGATGCAGACTGGACTCTGGCGCGGAAATCATCTTTGTCTGCTCTTGTTGGTGTAGCACAGGTGTATTTTCACAACCATAACAAATAAAAATGGAATTTTTTTTATTAAATTTACTCATTTTATGCGATGCCCTTACCATGCTCTGAATGTGCCACGCAGTCTGTCTTTGTGGTGACCTCTAACGCTAATTCCTTTGACTTTAAATGGAAATAAGAAACGTAAAACTACTGACCGGTTCCTTGACCTGGCGATAAGGAGATGCAAATGAATTTAGTCTTATTTTTTAAGCTGAGAACCGTAATGGAGGTGTCAAGTGATTTGAAGAACATGAATGACTCCCTGGACCAGCGACGTGACCTGATCAACTGCATAGTTCGTCACTTAGAGGATGCTCTGGCTATTCGTCACTTCCGTCGACAGCGGCGAGTCAAAAAGACCAAGACTAGTGATCAGCACCACTACGGTAAGGGATGGTCCCAGCTCGACACCACTGGGAGCAAAGCGGACGACAGACGCGAGACTAGTGGTCGGCGTTTCAGTACCCCCGTCGTGCCTCTTGCCCCTTCGAAACAGACCACTCGAGTGCCTGGCCCCCGACCCTGCATGCCCAATTCTTCGGCTTACCTCTCTGGCCTATACCTCGCTGTAAAAATCCTCTATCTGGCCAATTCAACTACGCAATTCGTCCTAACGGGGAAGTACGTCTCGTTGCATTTTTAATCATTGAATTGCCAATTTGATGCGTGAGAATGACAACAACAATCCATACGTCCACGAGGTGGGAACGGTAACAAATTGGTTCGTTTACCATCGTACGAAAACTTGTTGGGTGCAAAACAAATGTTTCTCAACTTTATTAATAGTCGTTGGTTATTTTCCAGGCATCGCATGTTGCCATTTTCTTTCATAATGGGGAAGCCTATTAGGAGTGACAAACGTTTCTTGTACACACAATTGTTCCAATTCGTTGACACACCCATATTTTACATGGTTTGTATTCTATCCAAGCTCATTAACAAAATGAAAATCTTTTCGTTCAACTTGACGGTAGCATTGAAGTTTAGAGAATTTTTCAAATTAATTGTGAACACACTTGCGTCACAGCACTCCACATTTCGGTTACCTACTGTTGGCATGCCAGCTGGATACAAAGAGGGCCACCCTCCCCTGGGCTTTTGGGATGTGCAAAGGCTTTGTTGTTCAGCGAGCCCAAAATCTTGGCCCAAGCATTCATGATCAAAGCTGGGTCCTTGTTGGATAGGACATTTTTCGTAGGTGTTCAGATTAGCGTTGAAAAGTCATTTAAATAAAACCAATTTATCCACTGCGTGGAAGGAAAATAAGCTGCCGCTGCTTCAGATTACATTAATAAATGGCCAACTTCGTGTGTTCGTGCATTAGGTTGGTTTGAATGAAATTAAATGCACTGTCTGCAAGATTGCCATTAAAATCACCATCCACCCACACCTTCACGCATTCACTTCTGCCGATTCCCTCGCTTCTACCATTTTTCTTGCCACCTTTACGATTTTGAGAACTGAGAGATGCCGTTTGAATGTAAATGCATTACCTAATCTAATGCTCACTTTCCAAGAAACACTTGAGTTCGGTTTCCTTTTAACCAGTGTTTGCCTGTCTCAACTTCTGTCTGACTCAAAGATTCGCTCTGGAGGATCATGTGCGTTCCAGTTATCCATCTCGTCTCTTTTTAAATTTTATTTCCTGCATCCCCAGCAGCTCTGCTCCAGTTCCTCCGTACTTCCTTCCGAACTTACCTTCGCCCGAAGTCCTTGTTGCTTTTTTTTCCAAGTAACTTGACGGTTCTCGTCTTGACTCCCATTTGATCAAGTTTCATTTCATTA